ACACACACACACACGCGCACGCGCACGCGCACGCACACGCACACGCACACGCACACGCGCACACACACGCGCACACACACGCACACGCGCACACACACACGCGCACACACACACGCGCACACACGCGCACACACGCGCACACACGCGCACACACACACGCTCGCACACGCGCGCATTCACACACACACGCACACACACACACTCGCACACGCGCGCACTCACACACACACACACACACTCTCTCACACACACACAGGCACACACACACACACTTGCACACGCACACACACAGACACAGACACACACACAAACACACACGGACACCAGGGGACGTCTTGGGGCTCCCTGGGTGGCACCCCGGCGTGCCATGGGGGCCACAGGTCCCAGGAGCGCGTTGGGATCGCTCCCGGGAGGCTGGAGACGCCCCCAAAATGCAAAATGCGCTCGGAGAGCTTCAAGAGCGGTCCAAGAGGCTTCCAAGACAGCCCAAGAGTGCTCCGATACGCCCAAGATTAACCCAAGATGACCTCATGACGGCCCAGGAGGCCCCCAACAGGACTTTCAACTGGGCCCCGCGATGCAAACACGTTTGGTTCACATTGTTTTTTTGGACTTATTTCACGTCATTGTCTTTTCCAAGGCAGCCCCAGAGGCACCCGAGACTGCTCCAAGACGGCCCAAGAGGCCTTCAAAAGGACCGGCCACGACGGCCCCCAAACGGCCCAAGAGGCGTCCAGGACGGCCCACGAGAGGCCCAACTGGGGCCCAAGCGCGCGCTTGGATCGCGCAGGTAGGCTGAAGACGCCCCCAGCAAGCGCCAGGAGAGTTCCAAGAGCGGTCCAAGAGGCCTCCAAGACATCCCAAAAGCGTTGCAAGACGCCCAAGGTCGCCCCAAGAGGACTTCAATAACACACCGAGACGGCCCAAGAGGCCCCCGAGAAGATTTTCAAGAGGGTCTTTCGATGCGAACATCATTGATTGATGCTGTGTTTTTCGATATATGTCACGTCGTCATCTTTTCGAGCTTCCGCGCTACAAGACAGCCCCAGAGGTGCCCCCAGGACCGCTCCAAGACGGCCCAAGAGGCCTTCAAAAGGGCCCCTAGATCGAGGAGGCCTCCAGACGGCCTAAAAGGCGTCCAAGGCGGCCCATGAGAGCCCCAAGTGGGGCCCAAGAGGGGCCCTACAGCGCGCTGGGATCGCGCAGGGAGGCTGACAACGCCCCCAGCATGCGCCAAGAGAGCTCCAAGAACGGTCCAAGCGGCCTACAAAAAAGCCCCAGAGTGCTGCAAGACGTTCAAGATAGCCCCAAGAGGACCCCAAGACCGCACCAAGACGGCCCAAGAGGCTCCTAAGGGGGCTCTTCAGGCCCCCCGATGTAAAAGTCATTGGTTGACATGGTGTCTTTCGGTATATTTCACGTCATTGTGTTTTCGAGCTTCCGCGCCCCAAGAAAGCCTTAGAGGTGCCCAAGACCGCTCCAAGGCGGCCCAAGAGGCCTTCAAAAGAGTCCCACGACTGGCCAAAACGTGCCCCAAACTGCCCTAGAGGCGTCCAAGTCGGCCCAGGAGAGTCCCAAGACGGCCCCAAGAGGGGCCCAAGAGGAGGGAACACAAACCTACAATTCGAGCGTTCCACTCCGAGACGCCGTTAGGAGGTCCCATCACGCCCTTAAGAGGCCCCACGAGCCCACGAGGCCCCCACGAGGCTCCCAAGAGCCCCCACAAGGCCCCCAAGAGGCCCACAGGACGCCCCAGGAGGCCACTAAACGGCCATCAAAAGGTTCAAAACTGCTTCCCGGAAGCTTTCGACAGGCCTCTTATCGGGAGCCTCGAGACGGGGGTCAATGCAAACGGGGGTCAGCCAGGGCACCGGATCTTGCAGGATCCTGCGAAGACCCCCTCTGGCTGACCCGGGTTAGCGAGCCGCTCGTGGCCGCGAGGCGGCCGCGCCTATTGGTTGACCCGGGTTTGCGAAGACTTGCGCTGCAGTTTTTTCTCCTGCATTGCAGTTGTTTAGTCTTCTGCTGACCCGGGTCTGGATTGACCCGCCGGGTCAGGAGATCCCCGATCTTACGAGATCCCCACGAACATGCACGCGGTTATTACCCCGCAGCCCAAGCACGGTGGCGGGATGGACCGCAAGCCACTATGGACAATCCGCCGCCCCCTGTGGATTTGTGTCGCATGGGTGCCTGGCGTGCTGGATCCTACGGTTCGGTTTTGGTTTTTCCCAGAAGCGCGCCCTGAGGCTTCGGTTCACGCCGCAGGCCGCCCGGAGGGCCCCGCCGTCGGGCAGCCAGCGACGGCCAAGATGGCCTCCAAGACGGCCAGGATGGCCTCCAGGTGCGCCCAAGATGGTCCAACATGGCCTCCTGGGCGGCCCAAAAAGGTCCAATATGCCTCCAAGTCCACCCCAGAAGCCACCCGGACGGGCCCAAGAGAGGGGGGCGCATGGGGTGAGCAGAGTGGTCCCAGGCTTGGGACGTCGGGGGCAGGAGCGAGGAGGGAGGAAGGAGGGAAGGGGGGAGGGGGGGGGAGGAGAGAGGTGGGAGCAGGGAGGAAAGGAGAGGAGGGGGAGGGGAAGGGAGGAAATAGAGAGAGGTGGAAGCAGGGTGGATGGAGGGCAGATGAGGAGGAGAAGAAGGAGGGGGTGATGAGGCGAGAACGCTCGGAACAATCAGGAGCCAGAGCTCGGAGGTGCAGCGCCTTCGAGGCTCTCATGAAAACTGGGGTCGGAGAAGCAGAGTCTTTGAAACCCTCAGGAATTGGGGGGTTCGGAGATGCAGGTTCCTTGACAGACGCAGGAACTTGATCGGGGGTCCGCGTTAGTTCGGACCGTCCTCGTCGAGGCCGTCGTCGTCGTCGTCGTCGTCGTCGTCGTCGTCGTCGTCGTCGTCGTTGTTGCTGTCGGCCAGCAACGCAGTTCGAGGCCCAAGGCCATCCTCGACGAAAATCCAGGCGCGGGCGTCGAGGGACACACGTCGATGTAGAAGACTGGTGCGCACCGGAGGGGGTGGATTCAGCAGTCACAGCTCGAAGAAGAGAAGCGGACTCTACTTTTTGTTCCCGGAGGTCCACGCGGACCTCCGAAGCCTATGTTTATGCTGTTTGTGTGTTTTGTCTTATTGCTCGGAAAAGGGATTCGGCAGCAGCCAGAGTCCGCACAGCGGAGCCAACCTCCTCTGCTATCGGGGCCGGTGTAGGAGTGTTCGGCCCCATCGCTCTGATCTTGAGTCGTGTTGTGCATGAAGCACGGTGTGACTAGATGATTGGTGTGTGCAGGGTCACGCCCCGGGTTTGCGGGAGCCATGTCGAGTTTACGAATCAGTTGCGGTCATGCTATACGAACCATTTTGGTTCAACGTTGTTGGCTTATACCTATAAGCTTAAGATATTTCTTGGCGAGGGGAAGAGATGGGGTGCCCAGCGCAGTGCCGCGCGTACTGCTGTAACCGCTTCTGTGGGATCTGCCTGTGTGGTCAGGTGTTGATCTTGCTGATCGTGTTGCCTTTGGTGGTTTTCTTGTCCCTCACACTCGGCGACAACCCAAGTCAGCGGCAGCCCGGTAACGACCTCCGTATCGCTACGCAGAGCGATATACAAGCGAAACGTTGGGACAAGGTGTCTGAGATTTTCGCAAGCGAGGACGGGTATTGGTCCAAAGAAAGCGCGCTTTTGGTTGGCGATTCCGATGGGGTTCTGTGGAGCCAAGAGAGGGACTTCGAACTGAGCAGGCGCGTTTGGAGTGGGAGCCTAACCAAATTCGTCACAGGATTGACGATTTACCGAGTGCTGCAACGCCTCAACGCCACTGCGGCAGCTGATAATTGGACAGAGCCTGTATTAACCTTGGACTCAAGACCTGCCGACGTCTTCAATTGGTTTTGGCCCCAAACTGGCGCACGCAGTCGCATTCGGCTCCACCACTTGCTGTCGTTTACTTCGGGCTTCTCCACGCGAACAAATTTGTTTGGGGCTGGCTGCGCGCGCCCAGGCTTCGGCAGCCTCGGCGAGGCTTTTTTCCATCTCATATTCGGGAGCGGCTCAAATAAGAACATGGGGATCCAGACGTGGATTCAGTGCGTGGAGAAGATCGCCGCAGCCGAGGGTGAACCGTACGAGCACACTGCGGAGCCTGGCACAAGCTTCAGTTACCACGCGCAGCACCTGGCAGTAGCCTGTGCAATGGTACTGCAAGCGCTGGGGCGCCCAGTCACGCTGGGCAGTTGGTCTGATTTGGTGGAGCAGGAATTATTCAATCGCTTCGCTCATTCCGCCGGCCCATGTTGCATGATCGCTACTGCTTCGCCGTGGGCCCGGGGCCACTGGCGCCGCCGAGGAGGGGGAAGATGAGGATGGGGAAGGGGAGGGGAGGAGGAGGAGGAGGATGAGAAGGAGAGGAGGAGGATGAAGATAAGTAGGAGGAGGAGGAAGAGGACGGGGCGGAGGAGGAAGCCTCTCGTTGGCATCTTGTGTTGCTCTTGGGGCCAAACAGGGTCGTCGTCAAGATGCTTCTTTGGGAGGCCTCTTGGGGTCTTTTGAGAAGCCGTTCGGGGGCGCCTGGGAGGCATTTGTGAAGCCTTCTGGGGCCTCTTGGGGCCTCTTGTGGGCTTCCTGGGGGCCTCCTGGGGCCTCTCGGGGGCCTCTTGGCGGCATCTTGGGGCCTCGTGGGGGCCTCTCGTGGCCTCCTGGGGCCCTCTTGGGGCGGAAGGCTAGAGTTTTCGGTTCGTGGTCCCCCTCTTGGGCCCCTCTTGGGGCCGTCTTGGGGCCGTCTTGGGCCGTCTCGGGCCCTCTTGGGGCCCTCTTGGAAGCCTCTTGGCCCGTCTTGGGGCGTTCTTGGGGGCCTCTTGGGCCGTCTTGGAGCATCGGATGGCCGAAAAGGCGACAAGGCCAAAATCCTTCCAAAACCATCTTGAAATTTACGATTTTGGCCTTTCGGGGCCCTCTTGTGAGGCCTCTGGGGGGCCACTTGGCGGCTTCTTGGGCCGTCTTGGGGTCATCATCTGCGTCTTGGAGCGCCCTTTGGGCGTCTCGGGGGCCTCTTGGGCAGTCTTGGGGGCCTCTTGGGGCCCTCTTGGCGCGCTTTGGGGGGCCTGAGAGGCCGTACCCAGGAGGAAAGCCATCTCTGAGTAGACCTGGTCGGGTTGCGGTCGGGTTTTTTTTCGCCGGGGGACCCCAGGGGCCGCCCCGCGCGCGCGAACTAGAAATAGTGTTAACCAGTTACCGGAGATCTTAGCACGCCTCTGGCCCGTTGGGCCGGCGAATTGTTTTGCTCAGGGTCAAAGAGGAAAGTACGGTGGCTGCGAGGCACGCCGCTCGAGGCGGCTCACGGGCCCAAGCGCTCACGGTTCGGGTGCACGCTGCGTTGATGCTTCCCCCCGCCATGCATTGCTGCCTAGCTACTGCTATCGCTACTAACTGCCAACTCAAGAAACCATTCTCCTTCTCGCCAGCCTGAAAGCACCGCCTTATCTCGATGCCGACGTTAGGGGTCTCCTGAGGCACTGAGGGCGCACGAGCAAGTTTTTTCAGCGCCTTTTGGTTAGTCAATCTTAGGGATGGGGGTATCACCACCCACCAAGCCACCCTAACCCAACCCGGAGGCCCCAACTTGTCCTCCATGCCCAGAGGGGGTGGGGGGGGGGGCAATTTACCCTCTATTCCAAGTGTGTGGGGGGGGGGCGTCGGGAAACACTGAAACCGCACGATGTGGAATACGTATCCCCCGAAACCCGAAATTTGTGTCTTCGGATTCGGTCGGGATTCAGTGAGCGGCTTGAACAAGGAACACTTGCTGTTCAAAAGGGGCTCGGTCGTTCCGTAGGTTTGGGTGCGTTATTCAATCGCTTCGCTCACTCCGCTGGCCCGTATTGCATGATCGCTACTGCTTCGGCGCGGCTCGGGGCCACTTCGGCGCCGCCGGAAGGAGGAAGATGAGGATGGGGAGGGGGAGGGGAGAAGGAGAAGAGGATGAGAAGGACCGGGGAGATGAAGATAAATATGAGGAGGAGGAGGAGGAAGAGAAAAGGGCGGAGGAGGAAGCCTCTCGATGGCATCTTGCGGCGCTCTTGGGGCCAAACAGGGCCGTCGTCCAGATGCTGCTTTGGGAGGCCCTGGGGTCTGTTGAGAGGCCGTTCGGGGGTGCCTGGGAGACATTTTTGAAGCCTTGTAGGGCCTCTTTTGAGCCTCCTTGGAGCCTCCTGGGGTCTCTTGGGGGCCTCTTGGCGGCATCTTGGGCCATCTTGGGGGCCTCTCGGGGCCTCCTGGAGCCCTCTTGGGGCGGAAGGCTCGAGGTTTCGGTTCGTGGTCCCCGTCTTGGGCCCCTCTTGGGGCCGTCTTGGGGCTCTCTTGTGCCGTCTTGGGCGTCTCTTGGGCCGTCTCGGGGCCCGTTTGGGCTCTCTGGGTGCCTTCTTGGGGGCCTCTTGAGCTGTCTTCGTGCGCTCTTGGGGGCCTCTTGGGCCGTCTTGGAGCATCGGAAAGCCGAAAATTCGACAAGGCCAAGATCCTTCAAAAACCGTCGTAAAGTTTATGATTTTGGCCTCGGGGCGCTCTTGTGAGGCCTCTTGGAGGACACTTGGAGCGTTTTGGCGGCTTCTTGGGCTGTCTTGGGATCATCTTCGGCGTCTTGGAGCGTCCTTTGGGCGTCTCGGGGGCCTCTTGGGCAGTCTTGGGGGCCTCTTGGGGCCCTCTTGGCGCGCTCTGGGGGGCCTGAGAGGCCGTACCCAGGAGGAAAACCATCTCTGAGTAGACCTTCCCGGGACCTTCCCGGGACCTTCCCGGGCTGCGGTCGGTTTTTTTTCGCCGGGGGACCCCCAGGGGCCGCCCCGCGCGCCCGAACTAGAAGAATTGTGAACCAGTTACCGGAGATCTTAGCACGCCTCTGGCCCGTTGGGCCGGCGAATTTTTGCCTGTAGGGGTGACTGCCGGTGTGGAGTGGGTCGGAATGGACGACACGGTGCCAGACGTGAGTGCGGCCCTCATGATTAGCGGCAGCGAGATGCACAAGATAGCCCACGCCTTGCTTTCTGGTGCCTTGCTGGAGGCGTGGTGGGCGGATCAGTTTCACAGCCCTTCACGGATGGACCAAGTGGTTCAGGCGGACGGCTGGTATGGGAACGGGCTGCAAATTGGGCTTTGGCACTTCTGCCAGACTAGCTGGCGGCCTTGTGACGCCATCGTGAGCAGCGCAAAGGAGGACCCCGAGAGGTACACCTGGCAGTCCGCTCAGGAAGCCTGCGCGGGGGAGGCGCAGCAGGTCCGACACAGCTCCGGCATCTGGGGGTTCTATGTATGGTTCGACCTGGACGGGGGATTCTACGGCGTCTACGCCGCCTATAGCTGGACGGCGCCAGCCGTGTGACAGACCAGCTCGATGGCACGCTGCCGCGCGTGCCAGCACGAGCCGAAGCCTGCATCGAGCTGGCCTGGTGCACGGCTGGCGTCTTCCAGCCATAAGGACGTGTATGCAGCCACTGCCATCACCGCCGCTGCCGTCACCGCCGCTACCTCTCTCCTCTGGGCCCTCAGCGCGGCAGGATTGGCCTGGTTGGCTCGCCAGCGGCGCAAACGTGGGCCAGACGCAGTGCCGGCCGCTACGGCGGCTGCCGAGGAGGTCGTCGAGACGGACGCTGGAGCCGCGGATGCGCCGCGGACACAAGATACGTAGCATGTGCAGGGATAGCAGGGAAGGGGAACGGCGTTGTTCCCCTTGGACAGCTGTTCTAACAACATCGTCTTGTCCTGTCATTTCTTTCCCTGGCCGTTGTTGTCCGCGAGGCCGCCTGTTCCGAATAAAGTTCAGAATCAATGGTGAGATCATCTAGCATCGCTGCTACGAGGTCTTGTGGCGAAGGAAAGAAGATGATACCCCATGAGTCCATCCACCTTCCCCTCCCCTTCCCTGACATCCGACGTGGTGATATTTCCACAGCGTCGGCCCCCCGCGGTCCGGACACCTTCCACGGGACTGGCTTTTCATCCCGTTACGTTTTTGGAAATCCCGAGGCCCAGCGAGGGCCCCCCGTGGCTCCTCCTCGGGGCCTGTTTAGCTGTTTTGGGCAATGCAGGTGGGTCCCCTGGGTACTCTTGGGCGTCGTTATGGAACAACTTGGCTATCATTGAGGCGTCTCGGAAGCAATGCTGAACCATATCCCGAAAAGCAGAACAAAAAACGTGCCCGAGGGTCGCCAACACCGTTGAATTTGTGTTTCCGGGCGGTGGGGAGCCTGTTGGAGCCTTTGGGGACGTATGACTCGTGGAGAGCCCGAGATGGGCATATGCGAAAAACCCTGAAACATGAATGACGAATCTATGAAGTCGGGCCTCCTGGGAAATGAATTGTGGCCCCCTCGGGCCTCCTGGGTGTCGAAGAACGTGGAGCATCTGAATCGCCTCTTGGGCCATTTTGCGGCCGCATGGGGCCGTGTTGGGTCCATCTTGGGCCGTCACTGGTCCATCCTGGGCCCTCGTGCGCCGACGTTGGCCGTCCCCCGGGCTTCTTGGGGAAGTCCTGTGGGCCCGGCAAGCGCCCGCGGGGGGTCCCTGGAACCGTCCAAACTCTATTTGGGGGGTGCTGGGGAGCCGTTTTGGAGCCTAGTTGGAGCCCTTGGGGGGCGCATGAGATTTTGGAGAACCCGACATGGCCAGCATCCGAAAAAACACCTGCAACAAGTCATGGAGCATCCATGGAGATGCATTTGGGCCCCCCTCGGGCCTCGTGGGTGTCCCTGGTAGCAGCCTGGAGCACCTGAAACGCCTCCTGGGCCACTTTGCGGCCGTGTTGGGCCGTGCTGGGTCCATCTCGGACCGTCTTGGAGGCATGTCGGGCCCTCGTGCACCGATTTCGGCCGTCTTCGGGCCTGCTCTGGAAGTCCAGGAGGCCCAACAAGCTCCCACGAGGGGTCGCCAGAGCCGTCCAACTTCTGCTGGGGGGACCCATCTTTGGTGTCAGATCACATGGATACATGTGTTGTGCAACCGATGTGTTGCAATATGGTGTATGCCAAACGTGCGGGGCTATCTATTCATTGGCTGACGTCGCACCGCCGACCCATTGGGGCGGCAGTAAAAATCAAAAACGGAGTTAGCGGAACGACTTCTGGGGAATCTTGGGGTTTCAGCTTCTTGGGATTTCGTCGGAGGCGGTTGGCAGATCGCCGCTCTGTTCTTGGGCTTCTCTGGGCTCTCCTGGCAGAACTTTTGAGGCCTCTCAGGGGCCGTTTTGAGACCTCTCGGAGCCTCTTTTGGGGCTCTCGGGAGGCCTCGTGGGAGCCTCTTGGGGCCTATTGGCGCCTCCGCAGGTTGTTTCGGGGTCGAGTGCTCGAAATGTTCATTCGGGTTCCCCCTCTGGGCCTCCTCTTGGGGCCGTCCTGGGGCCCTCCTGGGTCGTTTTGGAAGCTTCTGGGGTCGTCTTGGGGCCCTCTTGGGCCGTCTTTGTGCCCTCTTGGGGGTCTCTTGGGTTATCTTGGGTCAATCTTAAAGGCTTCTTGGGCCGTTGTGGGCCTCGTGAAAGCCCAAGAGGCGACTGTGCTAAAAATATAAGCTTCCCCTCGGGAATGTGACGATTTTTACTTCTGGAGGGCCTCTTTGGACGCCTCTTGGTGGCTTTTTGGGGCGTCTTGAGGGCCTCTGGGACCATCTGGAGGCGATCTTGGGCGTCGTGCAGCGATCTTTCGGCGACTCGTAGCCCTCTTGGACCGTCTGGGGGGCCTTGTGGGGTCCTCTTGGTCCGTTTTGGGGCCCCCTGAGGCTACAAGGGTGCGGCCGGCACCTTCACCCCCCCCCCCCCTCCACACCAGCCGGACCGGGTTCCCGGGGGAGGGTTTCGGGGAGGGGGGAGCATCTCACACGCCGTGACCCCAAGGGGTCGGTGGATCTGGTGCAATGTATGTGGCGCAATAGATGTGGAGCGAACTTTGAGATGCAATGTATTTGGTGCACTATGTTCTTCAATATGTGGTGCCACCTGTTGTGCAGGATGTGTGGTGCAATCTATGTATCGACATGAAGTCTGAGAAACATGTGGCGCCATCAGTGTGGGGCAATCTACGTTGTGTCATATGTGTGGCGCAATCTATGCTGTGCAATCAATGTTGTACAACCTCTGTTGTGCAATGTCTGTGGTGCTGTCAGTGTGGTGCAGTCCATGCTGTGCAGTATATGTACTGCAGCCTAAGTTGCGCAGTCGATGTGTAAAATCTGTGGCGCCACAGGATGTGGTCGATCTATGTGGTGCAGTTAGTTTCTGTTCGCAGTGAATTGTCCACTCCACTGCTCGCGCAAACATCCTACCCACCCACACCCACCCACACGCAACTTGGTGTGCAAACCTCATGCGGCGGCGATTGCGATGAGTGTTTGGCGCTGGCTGGTGCATCTCTGTGGCCGCGCGAGCCCGAGCATGCGCGCGCACGCAGCTGCCAGGTAGTTTGGCGCGACCGACGCGGCCGCGGTGGTGCTGACCGCTCAGCACATCCCAGCGGGCACTTGAGTGCGAGTCGGCGACGTGGACGGGTGCGGTACCATGGCAACGTCGACAATTGTAGACACGATGATGATAGTAGCGGTGTTGGTGACGATGCTGACAGCGACGACGGCACGGCTATTGACGGCGCCGATGCCGACCACGCCGACGACGATGACGGCGTCTTCGCGTCGGTGGTGAAGGCTTTGGGAGGAATTCGAAATGCGCGCGCGGCAAACGCGCGAGAGTGGCTCGCACGGTGTTATTTGACACGGATCGTGCCAGCCCAGCACGCCCGCAAGGGCGTTCGAACGCTATCGGCATGCGCGCGCGAAGCTCGTTTTTTTTCCCCTCTTAAGAATTAGCAAGAGCGCGCACGCTTTTGTTGAACACCCGTGTTGCGAAACTTTGTTTGTACATGTTTTTGGGCCACTCGATTGCGCAATCTTTCCGAAACCCATGGTTCATGAAGGATTCCGACATGCGCGCGCGACGACGTGCGCGCGTGCACTTCGTTTCAGTTTTTTTGCACGGGATTCTCGCGACGACACGCGCGCAAAGGTGTTCAAACGATTTCGACATGCGCGCGCGAAACCCGTTTGGTACTATGTTTTGAAAAGGTTGAAGAACCAATGGTTTCCACAAGACTTTGCAAGAGCGCGCGAATGTTTGCTGTTTGAAAATCCGTGCGGCGAGCCTTTTTTTTATATGTTTCTTGGACACTCGATTTCGAAATCTTTCCAAACCGAAGGTTTTTGACGGATTTGGGCATGCGCGCGCGACGACGTGCGCGTGCACTTCGTGCCGTTTGTTGCGAGGGATTTTTGGAAACTTGTGATTTTTGATGAACGGATGTGCGCGCATATTGCTTTTGCAGAGGATTGCGGGGGGGGCGATACCGATCCAGCTGGGATAGTATGAGTTCACAGGTAGGATGGACATTGTGTCAGAATCCTCTGTACATTGCAATACGAAGAAGGTGAATCTTGAAGTCCAGGGGGGAGGGTGGTAGAATTTATTTTTTGTGAAAAGAGAATCTACGTGGTGCAATCAAGGTTCGGCACTATATTTTGTGAGGCCTATGTTGTGCAATCTCTGTCGTGCAGTCTATGTGTTGCAATCTATGTGGTGCCTTCTATGTTGTGCAGTGTGTGGTGCAGTTTTGTTGTGCAATCTACGTCCGGGCGGCCACGAGGCGGCCACATAGCTACCACACCGCACCTTTGAACAAAAGTAGCACCCCCACAGTGCAAGCACTGTTTGGGGAACATGTATAATTTCGGGGAAATGGAAAATCTATAAATGAATTATGCTTGGGTGCCGGGGGCCTGGGGTCACCTTTCCGGATTTCCTCCCGCTGGTGGTTCACGGCATTTTTGACACCTTTTTGGGTTTCCTGGGCCTCCCCCGCGCCGCTCCAACAGCTCTGGAGGCTACCGAACAGCGGCCAGAGCGGCCTGACAGTGCCGAAGACGCCCGAATAAGACAGCTCATGAGGCCCCGAAGACATCCCGAGAAGGATCCAAGATGCGCCCCGAGAGGGCCACAGCAGGCTAAAATTGCATCGTTCCAGAAAGCAAGTAATAAGTAAGTGGTTTGGCGACGGACCTATCCACATGCAGTCATCTGTAGCGCAGGTCGCGGGTCTCTCTTCACACACTGCGCGCTGCGGGGGCGGAATGATGGCTGCTGCGGAGCACGCGTGCACGGGTGCGCTGAACGCCTTTTTGGGACACGATCCGCGTGAAGGGTGTGCCGAATAATTCCGATGCTCCCGTGCGAACACGCCCACTGAGGCGTCAGGTGGGCCTCCTCCGGACACGACCCGCGCGAAGCATGTTCCGAAATGGGCCGGGAGACGCCATGCGAAGCTGCCCAATGGTGTTGCCATAGGTGGTTCGCGTGACGAGTGTGCCGACATGGGCGGGGGGGCGCTGTACGAACCTTGTTTCTGGGCCTTTGGGTGGTGCTCCTTGTGGGCACGATCCGCGTGACGGGGTGTGCCGCAATGACTAGGGGGGGCGCAGTGCGAACCCTGCCTTTCGGGCCGTGGATGGAGATCCCTGTGGGCCACGATCCATGTGAGAGATGTTCCGACGTAGGCGGGGGGGCGGAATGCGATCCTTGTCAATCGAGCCGTCTGAGGAGCTCTTTGCAGGCCACGATCCGTGTGAGATGTGTGCCGAAGTTAGCTGGGTGACGCTATGAAGCTTCCTTGCTGGTGCCACAAATCTACGTACCTGCGGGGCACGATCCGCGTGAGGGTCATACCACTATGCGACCTTGTCGTTAGGGACGTAGGTGGAGCTCTCTGTGGGGCGCGGTCCCTGTGAGGGGTGTGCCGACATGGGCGGGGGGCGCTAAGCCAAGCCTGCCTTTGAGGCCGCACGTGGAGCTCCCTGAGGGGCACGATCCGTGTGACAATGCATGTCCTCCGATGCCGAACGTTGTATGCGACAACTAGAGCTAGCCAGAATCTAAGCACGGCGGAGAGCGCGTGCTTTTAGTGTGTACATCGAGAGAGAGAGAGAGAGCGAGAGAGAGAGAGAGAGATGGAGAGAGAGAGGGAGATACCTAACAACACAACAACACGCCAGATGGGAACCTTGCGGGCGCGAGCCTGCATAACGAGAACCAGGGAGGCAATCGGGATGTCATCAGGGAGCAGTCCGGTGAGGGTGCGGGCGGAGCGGCAGGTGCTCGGCGTGCCCGTCGCCGACGAGGAGCGCGGGGGGGTGGCAGAGACGCGGGAGGGCTCTCACCCAGAATGGTGGCGGGACAGTGTTCAAACTTGCATGTCTGCAGATGGGACGCCGATCGTCGGGCGAAGAGAACTATGCACATGCACCGATCCTGGGAAGGCCCATCCTTGATCCAAGATCGGTGCATATACATTCCTGGCCAAGGTAGGAGGGCGTATGCACCGATCCTGGGCTCAGGATGGGCCTGGCCAGAATCGGTGTATGTGCATAGTTCTCTTTCCTCTAGATCGAGGATCACGGATTGCTGTGACATCGGTTCTCGCTCGTTGTCCAGCCTCGATCCATTTTTCGGGTTCTGGTTGCAAGGCGGTCTCGTTTCGAACTCCGAATGGCCTTTTGCGACAGCGATGCCATGGCAGCATCGATGTATGTTTGCTCTGGTGTGACTGCGCGTCCGTAGCGATGTGTTGGGCCGTAATGCTTCGGATCAGGCGCGAAGCTTTCATGAGAGGGTTTTGTTCATGTCAGTGAAATTAGCGTCGAGGATTTGTGATCGCTCTGTAGTCGCGGTGTCTGCCGAGGCTCCCGATGACCACAGCGTTTGCTCAGGAGGAAGGGTCTGCCCTGGAAGGGCGCGATTTCCAATGACATGTTTGTTGGCATAGCGTTCGGAGGTCGTGATGGAGTTTTGCAGAAAAAGGGGCTTGGAGCGGGGGCCAGAAGGTGGGGCTGATACGATCGGATAAGACTTGCCGCGAAGCGAGTTCAAATTAAATGCCACCCCCTGAACTTGTCGAAATAGCCGACGAACTTTGCGGGTGACGCGCAGCGCCCCGTACACGGCGGACAGGAAAAAGCCGGGGAACACCGAATTGATGCCACGAATGAGGTTTTCCATACAGCAGGAAGCCCGCTGCGCAGAAGGCCTAGGCATGTACATTCGAGACTGCGGCGCCGCATCCACGTCGCAGCAAGCAACAACCAACATGTTCACTTCTCCCAACCAGCCGAATACGAGAACCTGACCGCCAGAGGCTGTCGTATAGCTGTACCATGGATGAGGGAGCCCACGTTGCTGACTGCTGTGCACGAGCAATTACACAACATCCGCCGCCAGATATGGTCCACCCTCTTTGAAGTACGCCCGGGGGCGGAGTCGGGGGGGATGTGGAATGTGAGTGCCCGCCTGGACCTCCGCTCCAGTCGCCCCTGGAAAGGACCGCACCGATGATGTCTCCTCCTCCTCCTCCTCCTCCTCCTCCTCCTCCTCCTCCTCCTCCTCCTCCTCCTCCTCCTGGGCACCGAGAGGGCTCGCGCTCCAAGACAGAACGGCCTGACCAGAAGCAACCCAATGCTGGAGCCACAACCCAAGGGATGAACACAGCGTGTCCAGTCTGTATCGCCTTCGCCCGTGGCCCTGTGACGTTCGATGCTCGGGGCGCCAGGACAGTATGACGTACCTGTCTGCACATTGTCCATCCACTCGACGAACACCAGCGCCAACACCAAGCGATTGGTGACAGTGATGTCCACGGGGGAGGTGCAGGGACCGTGCGTAGCGCGCACATGCCACACGAGTTGGAGCCGAAAGGAGGCGCCCAAAGAACCTGAGCCGAGGTGCTTTAGCCAAACGGCTACAGACGTCAGAAGGCGGGGATGGGACGGGAAGAAAGAGAGATAGCGGGGGGATGGGGAGCGTGGAGCAGGCACGAGGAGCCATAGGAGACGGAGGGGGAGGAGGAGGAGGAGGAGGAGGAGGAGGAGGAGGAGGAGGAGGAGGCGGAGGAGGAGGAGGAGGAGGAGGAGGAGGGGGAGGAGGAGGAGGAGGAGGATCAGGAGGAGGAGACGGATGAGGAGAAGGAGGGGGGGGGGAAGAGGAGGAGGACGAGAAGGACGAGGAGGATAATCACGTTGTATGTGATGTTTGTTTAGGAAGTCGGCCCCGCGACGCGAGGGCGATCGCCACGTGTTCGTCGGGATATTGTGGTTCTTGTTCATAGGCCTGATGTTCTTCGCGCAGCATACCACGTGCGACGCGTATTTCATTCCTGCCATCAATGTCTTCACGGACAAGATGAAAGCCAGCGAAAGGGTTTGGCTCCGAAGGTGTAGGGCGGGACCCTTGATGTCGTGACGGGGCATTTCTTTTTGGTATCCCCACGCAAGCATTATTTTCTCTTTTGCAATCTGAAGCCTCACACCCAGCATTTTCGATGCCGGGTCTGTTGTGCAGCGTTGTTTAACTTTGTTGCGCAGCAGCATTGCGAGTGATTGCCTGAATTCTCAATGCATGCTTGTGCATGGCGCGCGCAAGTGAGACATTGTGGCGATCTCGCGCGGGACGCGGGTTGGCATCGAGGGGAGACACACGATGACCATGACCAAGATGTTGTGGGGATCTTTTTGACGCGGACCCTAGTCATTGATCATGTCGGCCGTCGCCGATTCGCGAGGATGATCTACGAACTTACGATGATCAAGATCGGCACCGACGTTTCGCGTTAAGTCTTGATCGTGGGAGTCGTTGTTTTTCCATCCAGTGGCACTCTAGCTGAGACGTCCTGCTGGAAGCTTGTGCCATCTGAGCAGCACGGAGCCCTTTGCACAGTTTTGGCGCGCAACGGCGCAGTAACAGAGTGTTTGCCCCTTTTTCTCGCCTCCCCCTCCTGCACCGTCCTTCTCACGTGCTCCTCCTCGTCCTCCTCCTCCTCCGCCTCCTCCTTCTCCCTCTCTTGCCCTCCCTTCCCTCATCCCGCCTCCCCCTCTCTTTCACCCCTTTCAGCCTCCTCCTGCCAGAAGACGGCGATCAAGCCGACGACGACGATGACGACGATGACGACGACGATGATGACGACGAGGACGACGACGAGGAGGAGGAGGACGACGACGAAAACGATGACGATGACGATGACGACGACGAAAACGACGACGATGATGATAAAGATGACGATAACGATGACGATGACGACGATGGCAAGGGTGGCGACGGCGGCGACGACGACGACGACCATGACGTTGACGACGACGAACACGACGAAGAAACTGGCGACGACGACGAATACCACCACCACGACGACGACGACGACGAACACGACGACGACGACGAAGGCGACGATGACAACGACGATGACGAAAACGATGACGGCCAGAACGACGACACCCCCGCAGGGGAGGTGGGGCGAAGAGGCCGTCGCTGGAGCCACCATCTGCGCGCTGGGGCGCCCCAGTCGGGCCGGATCGCGCGGCCGGCGAGGAGCTTTTTGATGGAGGACCAGGGAGGAGGAGGGAGGAGGGAGGAGGAGGAGGAGGAGGAGGAGGAGGAGGAGGAGGAGGAGGAGAGAGGAGGAGGAGGAGGAGGAGGAGGAGGAGGAGGAGGAGGAGGGAGGAGGAGGAGGGAGGAGGAGGAGGAGGAGGGAGGAGGAGGAGGAGGAGGAGGAGGAGGAGGAGGAGGGGGAGGAGGGAGGAGGAGGACCGAGGAGGAGGAGGAGGAGAAGCAGGAGGAGGAGGAGGACCAGTGTCATCCCAGGACTCATCAACGATGTTGGAGTAGACCCTCCCCCTCCATTCCTGGGATTTCAATACCGCGAATCAGCGTAATTGTTGTGCCTTGGCAACCGCGAATCGCTCCAAATCATAATTTCTGGTACGCTAACCATGGGAATCCGTGAAACTCGCGCGGCACTACGGCGAGAGCCACACTTTGGAAAAGGAACCGCCCTCAATCCGTGAAGCCTGTGCAGTTTTTAAAGTCGAGTGCGCGCGGCGCTAAAGGTGAGACGAGAGCCACGTTATAGAAAACGACCCGCCCACAATCCGTGAAACTCTTGCAAGTTTGCACGACGAGAGTGCGCGCCGCTGACGCGGTAACCACATCTTGAAAACGACCCGCCCACAGCCCGTGACACTCTTGCGGCTGCATCGACTGTCATATTCTTGTTCGGTACCCGCTCATGCGTTTATTTTCGGGCGTACCGGCTTTACCGCCGGCCGAGGGGCCGTCGCGGGGTGCGGCGCAATTTCCTCCTTCTCTTCTCCTCGCCCTCCTTGCCTCCCCATCTCCTGATCTCCTGCCCCCTTGCCGGATCGTGGGCCGGATTTCGCGGTGTGCCCAGGATGGTTTCACCCCACTTAAACACTGGAATTTCACTGCCCAGAATTTCGTATCCTCGGCAACGCTTTTTGCGTGTTTTTTCGTAACGGATCTTCTTGCCCCTAGCCAGCCTGTGTATTTGTGATCGGGGACTTCGGGCTCTTTTCGTTGGGCTCGGACGGGGGTCGGGGTGCCACGCTAGACCGCACTGCGCCTCGCACAGCGGCAGCGAGTGTTCGTTGCATGCTGTAGCGCCTCTGTGCAGTAAAACATGCAAGTTTTCAGACAAGTGTGCGCGGCACTGCGGCGAGAGCCACATACCAAATATTAACCGCCCTCAATCCGTGAAGCCCCTGCACGTTTCTACGACGAGTGTGCGCAGTACTGGGACGAGAACCACATTTTGAAAACCACCCGCCCTCCATTTGTGAAGCTACTGCCAACCTTTGAGCGTCGGGGTCATACATGGGGAGGACCTCTCAGGCGAAACGCCCGCCCCGCCCTTCCGACTGTCCTCTGGGTGCGACTGGGAGGAGTGATTTATAAGGACCAGGAATGGGGGATGATGAGCAGGAGGAGGAGGAGGAGGACGAGCAGGAGGAGGAGCAGGAGGAGGACGAGGAGCAGGAGGAGGAGGAGCAGGAGGAGGAGGAGGAGGAGGAGCAGCAGGAGGAGCAGGAGGAGAAGCGGGAGGGAGGCAAGGGGAAAGGAGGAGGATGGAAGAGAGGACGGAACAGCAGAAAGTGCGCAAGTTCGGGCCAGGTCTGATCCAGGCCCCAGCATCGTGTCAGGCCTGCGCCCGCCTGCCCCGCAGGGCGGGAGGCGCCGCAAAAAGAGCAGAGGTGGGGTGCTACCCTTAAGTCGGGCCTGTCCCCCTACGGGGGGAATGTTCAAAACTAGTCAAAACACAGCCTGGGGACGATTTTTCTGGCATTTTCTGAATATGTTTGGATATGTTTGGGGTATGTTGAATTTGTCGTTCAAGATCCGCCTGTAGGGGGACACGCCCGACCTAATGCTACCCTCCCCCTGGCGCGGTCGAAAAGGACCCCGACTGGAAACAGCACGGGCACGTGGCGAACAGGCCATTCGAGGGCCCGTCTGCACGCTTGAAACAAACAGCGCCAGCTGCTAGCGCGCTTTGGCTTGCGCGCCTCTGTGCCTCAGCAGACCGTGGCCTCGCGCTGGGGCACCCCCGCGGCGGCCCACTGCGACAGGCAGGGAGCAGTCCTTCCCTTTCGTCCGTAGCCACTTGGCCGAAACTGCCGTGATTCAAGCAGTTGGCAATACCCCACACTGAACTTTCGCTGTGCCACGCTGGCACTCCGCGATTTGACACCGGGAGATGGCGAGCAAGACTGTCGTCCGCGCGGCGGTTACCGTCTCCGTTGCCCGTGCCCTTTCGGTTACTGGAAAGGCGGGCGCGGAGACGAAGTGGGGGATGTTCACCGACTTGCCGCGTGCGGAGTTGCAGGCCAAGGACCTAGCGGCCTCTGGTTGTGGTAAGGACTTGCCCGGCTACTTCACGATTGACGGCTTGATGTGGGAGGCCTCTTGGCAGAAGAGCAAGGTTTGGAACAGCACGGATTGCGCGCAGATTTGCGACGCGAACACGCATTGCGTCGGCTTCACTACCCGCAGGGGGCATGGCAAGTTGGAGTGCTCGTTGTACAAGGGCCTCCAGAAGCAGCCGGATCACCAAGCCATGTCCTTCATTAAGTGCTTGAAGGGATTTGACACATGCCAGGACGGATTCCAGTTCTCCCACGCGGGGACTTGGAAGAACGGCAAGAGGATGGTAAGACTGGACGATGAGGACATAGAGGAGTGCCAGAAGACGTGCCGCGCAAACAGGGGCTGCGTTGCCTTCACGCACCGCGTGACGAAAGTGGACGACAAGTTCTGCATCCACTTCGAGGACGCGGGCAACAAGGATCTCGAAGAAGGACAAGCTGCATACACACAAAATTTTGGAGCCCCGCGCAGATTTCTTGGTTTGCGCTGGGAACCTTGGCGGCGCCTCTCTGCGCCGCCCCTGGCGCGCTTCACGCGCCAGGGAGGCGGTTGCAGCGTCGATCCAAGAAGCCCACGCGGAGCTCCGAAAGCTCATGGTTCTGCAGCTTCTTTCTTCGAAAGGAGGGGCCCAAGAAGGAGTCGCGCGCCAACACGTACACCAAGTGCGTCCTCGAGGGCAGCCTCCAGGTCGAGGACAACAGCACCGCGGAGGACAGCGGCACCCTGGAGGACGCGGCCTCGGCGGACGAGCCCAGCCAGGCCATCCTCCCTCCCTCCATCCCTTTCCTCCCGCTCCCGCCTCCTACTCCTCCTCCTCCTCCTCCTCCTCCTCCTCCTCCTCCTCCTCCTCCTCCTCCTCCTCCTGTTCCCTCTCCTCCTCCGCCTCCTCCTCCCCTTCTCCTCCTCCCCAGACGCTCCAACCTCCCCTTGTCCTCCTCCTCCTCCTCCTCCTCCTCCTCCTCCTCTTCCCTCTCCCTCCCCCTCCTCCACTCCTTCCCAGGCATGCCCGCGCCGTAAAACACACATCACATCACGACAGCAGAGGATCGTGTGCCCTCCGGCCTCAGGGGGCCCTCGCCGGGCCCCCGTGACCGTGAGGCAGCGAGGTGGGAAGCCGCCCCCCACGGGGAAAGGGGGCCGGATTTCCGGGGACCCCGTGCATGGACCAACTCAAGACCTCGGGCGTTGAAGCCCCCTCCCCTGACCCCCTCCCCATCGGTGCGCCGCGGCCCCCCCCCTCGGCACACCGCGGTGGTGGCGGGTCGACGTCTGCCGTTTCGCGGGGGTCTCCTCTGGGGCCCTCTCGGGTCCCCTCCCAGGCCCTCCCCAGAGTGGGCCTGGCCCGCGTTGGCTGCGGCGGTCTCGGGGAGGGAGCTCCCTCCATGCCACGCGCTGATCCCCATCCCCCTCCTCTAGCTGCCCAGACCTCCGCTGTAGTGATGTTTGTCCCGACCTATCTCTATGTTGGGTTCTCGTTTTGAATTCGCAGCGCCGCGCGTCTCCTTCCCTCCCTCCTTCCTCGCCTCCTCCTCCTCCTCCTCCTCCTCCTCCTCCTCCTCCTCCTCCTCCTCCTCCAAGTGGCAGCGTCTGCATGGTTTCTCGGGTCCATTCTGACACACCCCTCACACGTTTTGAGGCTCCATAGGGAGCTACACCGAAAGCTGTAGTGGCAGGGTTCGCATGCGTACCGGGTCCTTCCCGGCAGACCCTCACACGTTTCGTGGCCCCATTGTGAGCTCCACAGAAGGTCCCAGTGGCAGGGTTCGCATGCGTACCCGGGTCCATCTCGGCACACCCCTCACGCGTTTCGTGGCACCGAAGAGAGCTCCACCGAAAGCCCAAGTTGCAGGGTTCGCATGCGTATTCGTGTCCATGTCGGCACACCCCTTACACGTTTCGTGGCCCCACAGGGAGCTCCACCGAAGGCTCCAGTGGCAGGGTTCGCATGCGTACCCGGGTCCATTTTGCCACACCCCTTACACGCTTCGTGGCACCATAGGAAGCTCCGCCGAAGGCTCCAGCGGCAGGTTTCGCATGCCTACGCTGGTCTATTTTGGCACACCCCTCACACGCCAGTGTTCAGAGCGTGAATTACCTACCCCGCTTTCGCTTCCAGGCAAAACCAAGCCATACCACGCGCCTCCTCGTCAAGCGGCCTGACCAGTACAGGCTGCAATTTGGCATCGTTTGGTATCTCTTGGAAGCGAGGGTGGTCAAAAGCGAGGTAGGTTTCTTTTCCCCCTAAGTATTCGGGCCCATTTCGGCACACCCCTCACACGTTTCGGGGCACCATGCCGGTCCATGTGGGTTCCCCCCCGTTACCAACCGCCCGAGATTACCCTGAGAGCCGACGTCGCGAGACAGAAGAACACCACATCGTGGGAACTCACGGCCAGAGCCCACACGACCCCATCTCTTCCTGGGGGCAGCTCTCTCGAGCCGGACCGAGCCGCGAGGGCCTCAGGGCCCGAGATCTGGGCGAAGGCGCCCCGTGTGAAGCACTTGCGACGCCAGGATCTCAGGGGCCGGGCCAGGTTCACGCAGGCCGAGGGCGAGGATAAATCGTTCCAGAGCGTTCGGAGCGTAGCGTTCCGCCAGCCGTGGTCTGGAAGGGCCGCGGCGTCCGATGCATCCTCCAGACCGGCCGGCAGGCCGGCTTTCAGAGGTCCCCCCATCCTGGTTCCGTCTCATCCTCATCCTGGTGTCGACGGAACCAGGAGGATGAGGTTTGTCCTCGTCTCCACCCGACGTGGTCCTCGCCCGATGTGTCCGGTACGGACTCCTTTTCTCCTCCGAAGTTGTCACCCCGGCCTCGCCTGGCAGGTCCTCGAGGGCGGCAGAGTCCCGCCCACGCCCCGGGAGATGCTCAGGAGGGAAAAAAAAACACACAGACACAATTAATCGAGGATCCCCAGGAAAATATGGGAAAAAATGGGAAGTGGTGGGGAAGACAAAAGCCCAGAAAATATGGGAAAATATGGGGAATCTTTTTATTTGTGTGTATTTATTTGTGTGTTTTGGGGCCCCTTGAGATGCATCGTTGAGGCCGCCGACGCTTCGCCGATGTGTGCGTCGGCGATGCGGTGCGATATCCGCCGACCCCGCCTGCGCGGAACCCACTTGGGAGAGGCCTCCCGTCGAGGCCGGCGGCCCCGCCCACGCCCACGCCCCGGCGGCGGACGAGCAGAGCCAGGCCACGGCCCTCGAAGAACAATCAGGAGGGGAAAAAACACACAGACACAATTAATCGTCGATTCCCAGGAAAATATGCGAAAATATGGGAAGTGGGGGGGGAGACAGAAGCCCAGAACATATGGGAAAATATGGGGGATCATTTTATTTGTGTGTATTTATTTGTGTGTGTTCTTGGGCCCCTTCAAACAAGAAAGGCACAGAAGCGTTCACTTTCTGCGCTCCGCGCGGATTTCTTGGATCCGCGCCTGGGGCCCCCCGGCGGCGCCTCCAGCGCCGCCCCTGGCGCGCTCCGCGCGCCAGGGGAGGCGGGCCCAGCGCGGAGCCAAGAAATCCGCGCGGAGCACCAACAAGTTAATGCATCTGCGGCGTGTTCTCCTTCGAGGCCCCCGGGGGCGAGCAGGGCGAGGCCACCGCCTCGGAGGACGAGGACGCGCTGTGAGGGGCGCGGCCTGTCTCAAACAGTGGCCAAGCGTCCCAGCTCGCCTATAGGCCTACCAAACAATGTCCTAGGAACCTTCTGTGGTCTGCACGAAATGTTCTTCGACAATTTCTGGCCGAGACTGGCTTGCGTTAACACGTCGGGCTTATGTTCTAAGGCCATTGTTTTTGTCCTTAGAACATTCTGGGGGTCCTAAGGACATGTCTCAGGAGGGAAAAAAACACACAGACACAATTATTCGGCGATTCCCAGAAAATATGCGAAAATATGGGAAGTGGGGGGGAATACAGAAGCCCAGAAAATATGGGAAAATATGAGGGATATTTTTATGTGTGTGTATTTATTTGTGTGTCTCAGTTCCCCTTCAACGTCGTGGTAGGCCTATGGGAATGCCGGGATGGTCGGTCCCTGCTCAACTGTCGGCCTCGGCCTCCTCGGCCCTCTGCGCTCGGGGATCGGCGCGCGGGCGGCGTCCGCGGGGGACCAAGGGCTCCCACGAGGGCGCGAAGTGATTCGCGCCTCGCGCCTCGCGTTCCCCGTTCCTTCTCCCCGTCCTCCTCTCAGGAGGGAAAAAAACACACAGACACAATTAATCGTCGATTCCCAGAAAATATGGGAAAATATGGGAGGTGGGGGGGAAGACAAAAAAACAGAAAATATGGGAAAATATGGGGACTATTTTTATTTGTGTGTATTTATTTGTGTGTCCTAATTTCCCTTTATCCTCGTCGTCCTTTTCTCCCTCTGGGGGGGTGGGGGCGGGGCGTCGCGAGAGTGCGAAGTGATTCGCGCTCTCGCGTTCCGCGGAGCGCGAGGCGCGGAGCTGGGAGGCCCAGGGGACAGGCTCTCGGGGGGGGCATGCTCAGGGGTGTCTCGGAGGTTTTCGTCGGGCCGCTGGAGGTTGTCCTGCCCCGGGAAGCGTCTCAGCAGCTGCGCGCCTCGCGGAGAGGGCGCGCCTCGCGGAGAGGCGTCCGGGGGCGTCCAGGTCGACCCGAAGGGCCGCTGGAGACCTGAGCCATTGCCCGAAAACTTGACGACGGTGAGAATCATTGGGTAGGGGAACAAAAAGTGACATAAGCATAACAACTCGGAGGTCCGCGCAGATTTCTCGGGTCGGCGCTGGGGCCCCCGGGCGGCGCCTCCGGCGCCGGCCCCTGGCGCACTCCGCGCGCCAGGGAGGGGGGTCCAGCGCCGATCCGAGAAATCTGCGCGGACCTCCGAGTTTTTATGTTCATGTCACTTCTTGTTCCCCTAATTAGAAAGGGTAAAGCTCACAGGGGGGACGCATCGAGCCCGCGCCCGCCCAGTCATTGCCGCCGAGAGGGGGCCCGCGAGCGCACCCCGCCCAGGAGCTCGCGGAGTCGCTGTCGGGGGCCCTCCTCCTCCTCCTCCTCCTCCTCCTCCTCCTCCTCCTCCTCCTCCTCCCGATGTGTCGCCGAGTCCAGGTCGATGTTTCCCCCCCTGGAGCCTGTTCCCCCCCTGTGCAGTCAGACCGAGGCATCAGATCGAGGTCGTTTCGGGGAGGGTACCCTGATGGTCTTCGTGCCGGTTGGACGTTCTCGTGCATCCTGGGGAGGCTGCCCTTGGATGTTCTGCGTGCCTTGGCCAGCGGAGGGTCTCGTGTTATTGAGGGATGCTCTTCCGTCCTAGGTTTGAGTCGGGCATGTCCCTCTACAGGAGGAATATTTAAAACAACTCCAGAAATAAGATGGGGGCGATGGCCCCACTGTTGTGTTTACAATGTGTTTGATCATGTTTGGACTGGGTTTCATTATTCTTCCTGACATAATTCATCTTCGATTTCCCGGAAAATATGCAAAAATATGAGAAGTGTGGGGGGGAAGACGAGCATCCAGAAGATTTGGAAAAATGTTGAGTATCCTGGGATCTGTGTGTATTAATTTGTGTGTTTGTGGGCCCCTTCAGTGAAGGGGCCCTGGGACGCACGAATAAGTACACACAAGTTACAGGATTCCCAGCATTTTTCAACATTTTCTAGGCGATTGTCTTCCCCCCACTTCCCATATTTTCCTACATTTTCTTAGGGATCGACGATGAATTGTGTCTGTGTGTTTTTTGTCCCTCCTGTCACGCATTGGGGGCGCCCCGCCTCTCGCGCCGCTGCGGGCGCCCCGGGCGCCGCGGGTCGCCTGCTGCAGCCGGCGCACGGCCTCGAGCCCCTGGCGCGGCGGACAGTAAAAGAGCACACCACGAGGGGAGGTTTGTTTCGGTTCGCCGCCTCGGGGCCTCCGGGGGGCCTCCTGGGTGCAGCGCAGGCAGCGACGAGGAGGAGGAGGAGGAGGAGGAGGAGGAGGAGGAAATGGAGGAGGAGGAGGAGGAGGAGGAGGAGGAGGAGGAGGAGGGAGCGCGGACGAACTGGTTTGCCCAGCCCATGATTACCTCCTTGCTCATCGGAAGCCTTGAGACGGGGGTCAAATGCAAACGGGGGTCAGCCAGAGCGCCCGATCTTGCAGGATCCTGCAGGGCCAGGGTCGCCTTGACCCGGGTTTGGGAGCAGGGTCCTGCAGGATCTTGCAGGATCCTTCGCATTGACCCAGTTTTGGGAGCAGGATTTTGCAGGATTTTGAAAGGCCTGGCTGAGACGGGTCTGGATTGACCCGGGTCAGCAGATCCCCGATGCTTCACCTTGCCATTTGTGATATCGCAGCGCATCAGCATTGCTCGTCATCAAACACTGAACGGCTGAACTTCTTGGCCCACGCTCGAAGGTCGTAAGCGTTTGCCAGCCTGCACGCGGATAGACTCGAGCTCGTCATTGCAAGCCCCGCGTCTTTCAGCTGGCAAACAAACGATGAGCGGGCTTGCCCAGAAACTTGCTCTGCTTGAGAAGGATGAGGAGTAGGACGGAGGATGAGAGGGATGAGGGGGGTGAGGGGAGGAGGATGAGGATGATAGGAGGAGTAGGAAGGTGAGAGGAGTTAGGGAGGGGGAAAACGGGGACGACCCTCTTTGTCCTCATCATTGTCATCGTGCTCCTTCTCTTGCTCTGGTTGTCCCCCTCCCCCACTCATCTGCCCTGTCTATTCTCTCCCTGTCCGTGTCGTTCCCGCTCACTCCCCTTTCTGCCTGCTCGCAGTCTCCCTTTTCCTCGTGATGCTTGCTGCAGCAGCTGACGGCCAGGACGAGGGCAATCACGACTCCGAGACCGCGGGGGGAAGAGAGGTACGGGGACGAGAGGGGACGACGAGACGGGCGCAGGAGGAGAACGACGAGGACTGGCTGCCCATCGGCCGCGTGGCCCCCCGGGCCTCTCCTCCCCACCCCAGGACGCCCGAGGGTGCTTTCTGTTTGTTTCCCCCCATGCGCGGCCCCAGAGGCAGCTGGTCGCCCCCCCCCAAGCCCCTCTCCGATGGCTGCTGCAGGGCCCGGCCAGCGGGCCCCCGAGGGGCCGAGGTCGAGGAGACGCCGCCAGGGCGGACAGCAGCCGTACAGTGGGAGCGCGCATCAAGAGACCAGATGCTTTTCGCCAGCTTCGCTCCGCGCGCTGCGCGGTGACTGCCCGCAGCCGTTGAAGTAGCTGCTGCGTTCGGGGTGCGCTGGGTTTCCCCTCGGGTGCACCTCGCGCGCGGGTTCTCAGGGTTCTGGTTCCTTGCGAGGGCTTCCTGCGGCCGCGCCCGCACTGTACGGCCAAAGGACGCCGAAGGAAGGGCCGCTCTCTGGGCTCGGGGGGGCTGTCTCGGGTCTTCGGGCCCTCCCCTTCTAGACCTGTGCCGCGGCACCCGTCTGCGGCCCAGGCCCGCCGTGGCCAGAGAGGCCCCGCCGCTCCTCCCTCCGCCGTTCCTCCCTCCTCCGGTTCGTCGGGGAGGGGAGGGGAGAGGGAGGGACTCGCTCGACGGCAGATAACCCTTCAGGAAGTACCACATACATCTAGGACGAGGAGGAGGAGGAGGAGGAGGAGGAGGAGGAGGAGGAGGACGTTATACGCTCCTCGTGGTATCACGGCGACTGCAGCGTCGGAGGTCTGGGGCGGGCCCCGCACCCAGTGTCTCCAGCAGCGCCGCCCCTGCTGGACCCCCGGGGCCCCACGCCACCGGCGAAGTTCCCCCGCCCGACGGGCCGCGGCCTCAGATCGGCCCCACCCCTCGGGGCCTGGTTTGCCCCAGTGTCGCTGACGTAACCGATGCCCATCCACATGTCCATCCCCATGCCGAGCTCCATCATCCCATCTCTCGAAGAAGAAAAGACGCGATGAACATAAACTGTCGGCGCTCCGCGCGGATTTCTTGGACCCGCGCTGGGCCCCCCTGGCGGCGCCTGCGGCGCCGCCACTGGCGCGGGGTCCAGCGCGGATCCAAGAAATCCGCGCGGAACTCCAAAAGTTCATGTTTTATATGATTGTCCGTTCCTCTATTTCCGATCTCCATCATCCCATCTCCCCCGTTGGAGGCATGTCACTCGAGACCGATGGGAGCAGCCTACGTCCCCATTTGGGGGAGTAAGTCGGCCAGTGGGGCCCAGGCCACGCCAGTGGGGACAGGGATCGGTTCAACACTGCTCGTTGTCGGCGGTTCGAGGGTGGGGTCCTGATGATCGAGCAAGCGCAAGCATGGAGTAAGGCGCGTGCATTAGCGAGAGGTCCCGCTTCCATGCGAGATCGACGACAACGAGGCGGCGCTGGCCAAGTCGGGCGGCACTGGCATCATGTCTCGGGGTGTATTACCCTCCCGACCCGTGGATCTGGCGCCCACGCGCCAGATGCACGCATACGTACTCCATGACAGCGCACGCCCGAGAGATGGGGCCCTGATCATGGCCCCTACAGATAGGAAGGGCCTCCATGTTGAGTTCACACTGTCTGAGCCCCTCTCCTCGTCCTCGGGGCCCCCACCCCTCGGGGCCCCACCCTTGGGCTGCCGATCCCTGGGGGCCCGGCCGCGCCGAGCCAGGTGCAACGGCCCCGAGCTCTTCAGCAACCTCATCTCCCTGTACACCCACAGCGACGCGGGCATCGGCGTGGTCGTAGGAGCGGCCTGGGATCCAAGTGGGCGGCTCTGCGATCCGAGGGTGCGGAGTTCTGATTGCCGTGCGTTCTGTACCTCTTCTGAGCCTCTGGGAGCCTCCGTCACGGCCGCTGCTGGATCTGCGAGGGCCAAACCGAGACCGCCGTGCGCGACGATGGTGTTTTGGAGCCAGACTGCAGCGCACGGCGTCGTGGCAACGTTGTCCCACCCAAGCCAGCATAGCACTAAGTCGGATGTATCCCTCTACAGGAGGAGTATTCAAAAACAGTAAGATAATGTCCAGGGATGACTTTGTTTTGGTATTGTTGCTCATGTTTGGAGTATGTTTTGACTATGCGTAAATGTTTCGGCCCAAATCCGCCTGTAGGGGGACATGCCCGACCTAACACGCTAACCCTCCATAGAGCAGGCACGCGAAGCAAGGCGTTGGCTCACCTTCGGGTGCCCCGCGAGAATCTCGCATCCCTGGTGGGCCCCGAGTCCCCCGTGGCACCTCACGCCGCTCGAGGTCACGAAAGGTGCGCCACCAGAGGTCTCGTGCCAGACAGCTCGCGAACAGCCCGCTGTTGTGTGATCAGATGCACTCCGTGGGGACGCCCCGAAATCGCCATCACGTTGCCGACATGAGCGCTCTGATCTGCTTGCGCAGGACGATCAGCCATAGTTATACGGAAATGTGAGCTCCAGTCAATGTTGCGAGACTCACATGGTGTATTGCCGAAGGCGTCCCTGCCGGAGGTTGCATGCCGCACTGAAGCCAAACGATGCATGGACGCGGATTCAAGCGACGGGTGATTTGGTTGAACGCTACCGAGGCGCGACTTCGACAGGAGCATCAGGGGACGGGCACTGCACTGCCATGCTCTCCTTCTGCCGCTTCCTCGGCCGCGCGGCATCTGGCAGAAGCTGTCGCCCCGCTCCCTCCCTGCTGCTTCTGCTGCCGCTCCCGCTCCCACTCCTGCCGCTGGGTCTTGGTCCTGCCCCACCTCGCCGCCCAGGGGGCACTCTCTTCATTTCCCCCCGCCCCCCCCCCCTCCCCGTTCCCTATGGGCCCCTGTCCCAGGCTCTGAGATATTCAACCTGCTCATCATTGTCGGCGCTGCAATTATGGCGACGAGCAGTCTCCCGCTCCACCTTGACGTGCGCGCCCGGGGGAGCAAGCAAGGAGTAAGTACCTGCAGAGGATCCAGCGATCTCAGTGCCGCGTGCTATGCTGTGGTCCAGGCACCCGTGCACCCCCAAAGGAGGTTTGCAAGCACAATCTGCGAAACACATATTGCAATTGAACCTGGCTCCGTCTAAAAGGTTGGTGAGTTTTGGCTTGCCATCAGTTTTGCGCGCATTCTCCCACGTGCTGATGTCATAATGAGCATGGCTAGTTTGCGCCGAGATGTCCTTCTCTGAGGTAGCTGGTAACATGTTATGCCGCTGCAAGCTGTTCGTTGCAGACACATGGGCTTCGTTCGTTCCTTGCCCAAGGTTGTTGTTGGCTGGGTGCGGGAGGCAGGGGGATCGCAAGAGGGAGGGATTGGTTGAAAGGGAAGTTATGTATGCTTGACGCTCCGCGCATTCCCAGCAGCCCATCCAGCAACGATGCCCAATAGAGCTGCTTGGGTGAGGGGGTCGAAGGATGGGAGAAGGATGAGGAGACCGAGGATGGGAAGGAGGAGGGAGAGAAGGTGGCCGCGTCTGCACGACACTTCGGCCGAGAGCGAGCGAAGAAGGAGAGGACCAAGAGGAGACAGATGACGACGATAAAGGAGAAGGAGGAGGATGAGCAAGACGAGGAGGCGGATAACGAGGTGGAAGGGGAAAAGGACACCTGGGGGCTGTTTCTGGGGTGTGTTTGGGGGCCCTCTTTCTGGGCTCGCTCTCTTTGGGGGGGGGGCCGTGGGGCCATCATCTTGCGGCGATGTGTGGGGCACCGTAGCTCAAACAGGGGGGCCGAAATGGACGCTGACTGCGACGAGCGATTACCAAGATCCATTCGACAGCGTCCATGGACGATTAACCGATCGACAGGGGAGGCTGCATGTCATCATGGTCGAATGGCCGATCCGACACCGACCACCGTCCATTCGGCCGGATGGAGGCCGAATGGTCGATCCGACACCGACCACCGTCCATTCGATCGACAAGGGAGGCCGAATGGACGCTGACCGAGACGAACGACTACCAGGCGATCGCAAACATGGATCAAGGGGGGCGTGGATTAGCGACGGGTCCCGTTTCCGTGGCATTTTGGCCGCATTTTGGGGAGGGCGCCTCCCCCGATCCATGGATTAGGCGACCGCGCGCCAAATCCATGGATCGCTAATCCATGTTTGCGCGCCCCCGAAAAAGGGAGGCCGAATGGACGCTGACCGAAACGAACGATTACCAAGATCGACACCGACGTTTCCGCGCTCCATCTTGGTCATCCTGTTCCGCTGCAGTCGATCCGCATACAGTGGGAGCGCGCATCAAGATACCAGATGCTTTTCGTCAGGGCATCCTGGGTTTCTTCGCTCCGCGCGCTGCGCGGTGACTTCCCGCAGCCGTTGAAGTAGCTGCTGCGTTCGGGGTGCTCTGGGTTTTCCCTCAGGTGTACCTCGCGCACGGGTTCTCAGGGTTGGGCTTCTTGCGAGGGCTTCTTGCGGCCGCGCCCGCACTGTACCAAGGTCGACACCGATGTTTCCGCGCTCCGTCTTGGTCATCCTCTTCCGCTGCAGTCAATCCGCATCTATCCTTGCATCCTTCCCGTTCGGCCCCATTCTTGGCCGCCGTCGCCGGCGCCTGGCGTGGCCTTCCATGAATTACCCTTGCTGCGCTTCTTGGTCGCGCGCCCTCCTTCCTGCGGGCTGGCCGTATCTGCCGCTCCCAATCTCCCCCCGCCGGAGCCCCCGCCGAGCCCCTCCCCCCCTCGGGAGGGGCCGTCCGCCTTCGGCCTTTGGCCGTGGCCACCGTGGCATTGCCAGGGGCGCCCTCGAGGGTGCGATGTTCTTCGCGCTCCGCGCTTCGCGGTTCCGCTCCGATGCCTCCTCGTCCTCCTCCTCCTCCTCCTTCCCTGCGGGGCGACGCGAGAGCCCGAGGTTATTCGCGCTTCGCGGTTCGGCTCCTGTGCGTTCTCGTCCTCCTCCTCTTCCCCTGCGGGGCGACGCGAGCGCCCGAAGTTGTTCGCGCCTCGCGCTTCGCGCAGCGCGCAGCACGAGCTTAGGAGCCCTCGTCTTGCCCTCCGACCCCAGCTTTCGCCTCCCGACTCCGGCCCTGCGCACCCTCGCGACATCGTTCGATGAGCGGCCGGTCGGCGACCACCTCTTGCGCAGGTCATGCGTGTGAGTCCTCTTGCGAAGGCCTTGCGGCGGGTGCCGCCGACCCTGAAGGGAGACGGTGACGACGGCAACGGTGGCGGCGGCGGCGACGACGAGGCTGACGTGAGCCAGAGTCCTCAGGGGTGCTTCTTGGGGTCTCTTCGGACGGCTCTCGGGGGCCTCTGGGGAGGAATTTGGGAGCCTCTTGGGAGCCTCTTGGGGGCCTCTTGGGAGCCTCTTGGGGGCCTCTTCGGGCTTCCTGGGGACGTCTTGTGGGCCTCTCGGGGCCTCGTGGGCACCTCTTGGGGCCTCCTGGGAGCCTCTCGGGGCCGAGGGCTCGGAAAGTGCCTTCGGGTCAGGAGTCTGGGTACGCTCTTGGAGCCGACTTGGAGGCCCTTGGGCCGTCTTGGGGGCGTTTTGGGGTGTCTTGGAGTCTTCTTGGTCTTTTGGGGATTTTTTGGGGGTCCCCTTGCGGACCTCCTGGGCCGTCTTGGGGCAATCTTGGGGGCCTCTTGCTCCGTCTTGGAGCGGCGGGAGATGGAGAAGGCGAGAACGCCCAACACTTCAACAGAGAAACCAACGGAACATCCCTGAATTTGGCCCCCTGGGCCCTCTCGGAGATGCTCTTGAAGGCCTCTTGGGGCGTCCTGGAGGCCTCCTGGGCAGTCTGGGGGGCGTGAAGGCGTTTTGGACCGATCGTCTGGCGATTGGGGACCCTCGTGGACCGTCTCGGGGGCCTCTCGGGACGCTCCTTGGCATGTCTTGGTACCCTCCGAGGGATGCACCAGGACCCCCAGGGGGGGATGCGTATCTGACCCGGGATCCCCCCCCCCCCCCCGGGGACCCCCCCCCTGCCCCCACCCTTTGGCGGGGGAGGGACCAGAGGAAGGGGCTTCCCTTCGACTCGACAACGACATTGCTAGACGTTGCTCTCGCTGACAAGCTTGAGGAGGGGGGTGCAGGGAAAGGGGGCGACGCAGACGACGACTGACGGAGACGCCGACTCGAACAGACAAGCCCCTCACGCACACAGGGTCGGTGGAGTTTTGTCATGCGTTGTCTTACTGAGGTTGTCACTGTTCCCACTCTTGCTGGCGATGGTTGGGCACTTCGGGTCCACCTTGCGGCACCCACGCGCCGCAGGATGCAGGACGATGTCCCATGATGTCCGACGTCCGCCCTCCCCCGCCCGAGCCCCCGCCGTGTCCCTGTCCCTTCCTGTCCCTTCGGGAGGGCGTCGGGCGGGTCGCGGAGGTCGCCCCGTTCGCCCGCGACTGCACCTTCTACGGCCTGTCCATCGGCCTGCTCTACTGGGCGCCGGGCTCGGGTCCCGCGGGGGCGCCCTCCACACGGGGATCTGCGCGATCGAAATGGGTGCCCATCGGCAGTCGAAGCAGGCATTTTGTTGACCCCTGATTTCAGTCTGCTTCAGGCGCCTTCCTACTCCAGGGGTCAAGTGGTGGTGTTCCCTCGCCCTTTGTCTTCAGGGGGCGGGCGGAGATCCAATCTGCGTTCAGCGCCTTCCTGTCTCTGCCCACTTCTTCCGACCGGTGGGTACGGTAGGCTCGTGTCGTGTCGACTCGTTGGGGACCCCACTGCGTGCGTTCCATGCTAAACGCCGCCAGGGGCCCAGAGTCGGCCAATATGGAACGATCCGGCGATCGAGAAGCCGCCGATCGTTCAAGGCTGAGCGATCCATGCGCTGTCAGAAACCAACGCGAACGAAGACCGACAGCAATCCTGCCCATTTTGAGCAAGAGCCGGCGTTGGCGTCGCCGACGACATCGTCCATTTGAGACAGAGGGTCGCTTGACCAAGAGCGGCCGCTGCCGGTTTTGCACAGCACTTGCTGTCGGGCATCGTGCCGATTTTGCGCGCCGGCTTCGGGCGTGCCAGTGAGGGCCCCAGGCGCAACGACAGCGGGAGACTCCACCGCCACTCGCCCATTCATCGCCGATCGGGGCCTGGGCCCCCCGACCCCGCCCACGAGCCTGCGGCTCGGCTATCTGGAGCCTGTCGCCGATCCGTCGGCGATGCGTTGCCGATTCCAAGTCGATAACTCTCTCCTGCCCCCCCCCCCCACGAGCCAGTCTCTTCGAGACGGTCCCTCCCCCCTCCCCTCCCCCCGTGGCGCGGAAGTCGGGCCTGTCCCTCTACAGGGGGAGCCGTCGGAACAGAATGGTCAGGGGGACTATATGTTTTATGCTTCGCCCGAACTCCGCCTGTCGGGGGACATGCCCCGACCTGACGCAACGCTGGCCCTGCCCGAGGCTCGGGGCCCGTTGGGGAGGGGGCGGCGGCGGGAGCTCCGCGGCGCGAGGCTCGGGGCGACGAGGCCGCGCCTCGGGGGGCGCAGGGCGCGCTTGCGAGGGGCGCGGCCAGTCGGCCTTGGCCTCCTCGGCCTCCTCGGCCTCCTCGGCCTCCTCGGCCTCCTCGGCCTCCTCGGCCTCGGCACTCGGCGATGCGCGCACGGGCTGCGCCCTTCCTCCTCCTCCTCCTCCCTCCTCCTCCTCCACTCTCCTCCTCCTCCTCATCCTCCTCCTCCTCTCCTCCCTCCTCCTCCTCCTCCTCCTCCCTCCTCCCTCCCTCCCTCCCTCCCTCCCTCCCTCCCTCCCTCCTCCTCCACTCTCCTCCTCCTCCCCATCCACCCTCCTTCTCCTGCTCCTGCTCCTCCTCCTCCTCCTCCTCCTCCTCCTCCTCTTCCTCTTCCTCCCCCGTAGCCAGTTTGGCCCAAGGGGGGACAGGCTCTCGGGGGGGTTTTCGGACGCGTTCGCCGGCCGCTGGGAGCTCTTGCCTGCCCCAGGGATGTGGTTCAGCAGCGGCGCCTCGGGCGAGAGCGTTCCAGGGTTGCGGGAATCGTCCGGAACGGCCGCCAGAGGCCCGAGCCCTGACCCGAAAACCAGGCCTCGGACTCTCGGTGCGTTTTTTGTCGGGGGTGGCGGCGCGGCCGAACCCAAGCACGCCGACCTCAACTATCGGACCGCATGCAACGATCGGCAAAACGTGAAGCAGAGGTCATTCTTGCTTGGGGCCACCCTTTACGTGAAGCCGAGAAGAAGCATCGAGGTTCGAGGCTCGAGGCTTTCGAGCGCTTCTGGATGCTCCTGCAGCTGTTTGGGCTTCTAGAGGTCTCATGAAGTCTCCAGGGGATGGGGAGGAGGGGGAGAGGAAGGTCGTCGTCGTCGTCGTCGTCGTCGTCGTCTTCGTCGGTCCCTGAAAGATTTACGAGTTGTGTTTTGCGTTTTTCGATTTTGTGCCTGCTGGAAGGGTTTTCCAGATGCTCGCGGTGGCGTCTTGGGCTTCCAGTGACCTCCTGGAGACAACCAAATTGCACAGAGGCTTCCGGAGTGGGAGGCGGGGGGATGGTGAGTCACGGTGGGGGGAGAGGAGGGAGGAGGAGGCGGAGGAGGAGTGCGGCGATGGAAAGGATGAGGGCGGAGGAGGAGGGAGGTAGTGGGAGGAGGAGGAGGAGGAGGAGGTTATTGTACTTATGTTGTAGTTGTTGCTGTTTTGTTGCTGTTGTTCCTGTTGCTTTTTTTTTTCTGGTGGGGGGGACCCATAAGTTTTTTTCAATCTGTGTATATACATATGTACACCCCAGATATTTTCGGTTCGCTTCGCTTCGCCTCAACATCTTGTCCCTCACCTCACCTTGTGCGCCGGAGCGCGGATGTCTTATCCCGCCGCGGTAGATAAACGACAGAACGTGGCGCGCTCGTGAACTTTTGGGGTATGTGTTCATGGGTGTCGTGAGCTTGACCGTTTTGGAGTTTGGGTATGTAGTGGCTTCAGGTGGGATATCATGGTTGGCCTGCGCATAGCACATAAATATTGTCACAGTTTGTAGTTGCGTTGGCGGTCGTACAGGTGGTTGTGCTGGTGTTTGTGCTGAAAGCTGTGCTGGTGGTTGTGCTGGTGGTCGTGCTGCTGTGGTCATGCTGGTGGTCGTGCTGGTGATGGTGACGGCGGGTGGTCGTGCTAGTGGTCGCGGTAGTGGCCGTGCTGGGAGCGCCGGGCCACCAAGGGGCCGCACTAATCAGAGTGAGGGGGCCGAAAGGTCATTCACTGTCCCTGGTCACGTGGCTGCAGTAAGGTTCCGCGATGCGGATTGTTGTTGTTGTTGTTGTTGTTGTTGTTGTTGTTGTTGTTACTGTTGTTGTGATTGTGGTTGTGGTTGTGGTTGTTGTTGTTGCTGCTGTCGTGGTTGTTGTCGTTGGTGTCGTTGGTGTCATTGTTGTTGTTGTTGTTGTAGTAGTTGTTGTAGTTGTTGGTGTTATTGTTGCTGTTGTTGTGCTTGTTGATTTTTGTTTGTTGGTTGTTGTTTGTCGCTTGTTGATTGTTGTTCGTTGCTTGTCGTTTGTTGTTTCTTGTCGTCGTCCCGCCCGCGACCCGGCCCGCGACCCGACGGCGACCCACCCGCAACCCACCCTCGACCCACCCGCGACGCATCCGCGACCCACCCGTGACCCACCCCGCGACCCACCCGCGATCCACCCGCGACCCACCCGCGACCCACCCGCGACCCACCCGCGACCCACCCGCGACCCACCCGGGACCCACCCCGCGAACCGCCGTCGACCCACCCTCGACCCACCTGCGACCCACCCGCGACCAACCCGCGCTCCACCCGCGATCCACCTGTGACCCACCCGCGACCCACACGTGACCCACCCGCGACCCACCCACATTGTTTTAACGAAAAACTGCGCGCTTGAGGCGGTCTGGTTGTAAAATTTGTGCACATGAAGCGCCCGCGTCGGGCTTCTTGAGAGCCTCGCGGACTGCCGACATCCCCGCCGCCCCCTCACTCTTACCCGCAACTGCGGGGTGCTCTATATTTGGTTCATGTCGACGGCTGTTTTCTCCCAGCCTTCCTGTGGGTTGGGTCCTCGTTTTGAATTCGCAGCGCCGCGCTCCACCTCACCTCCTCACCCTGCTGCTCCCCTCCTCATCCTTGTCATCAGCATCATCCTCATCGTCGTCATCATCGCCGTCGTTAGCATCATCGCCTTCAGATGCGTTACCCCAATCATCATTCACATCACCTTTTTGCCACACACAGACCTCACGCGCTTCGTGGCCCCATAGGGAGCTCCGCCGAAGGTTCCATTGGCGGGGTTCGCATGCGCACTCGGATCCTTTTATAGCACATCCGTTATACAGTTCGTGCCCCGATGAGGAGTTCACCGAAGGCGCCAGCGGCAGGGTTCGCAAGCGTACTCGGGTCCATTTCGGCACAGCCCTCACACGTTCCGTGTCCCCATGGAGAGCTCACCGAAGGCCCCAGCGGCAGGGTTCGCATGCGTACTCGGGTGAATTTTGGCACAGCCTTTACACGTTCCTTGGCCCCATGGGGAGCTCCACCGAGGGCTGCAGCGGCAGGGTTCGCATGCGCATTCGGGTCCTCGCACGTTTCGTGTTCTTATGGGGAGTTCCACCGATGGCTCCAGTTGGAGTGTTCGCATGCGTACTCGGGTCCAGTTCGGCACACCCCTCACACGTTTCGTGGCCCCGTAGGGAGCTTCGCCGAAGGCGCCACTGTCAGGGTTCGCATGCGTACTAGGGTCTAGTTCGGCATACCCCTCACACTCTGCGTGATCCTTTGGGTAGCTCCACCGAATGCTCCATTGGCAGGGTTCGCCTGCGTACTCGGGGCCATTTTTCGCACACGCCTCACACGGTTGGTGGCCCCTCAGGGAGTTCCACCGAAGGCTCCAGTGGGAGGGTTTGCGTGTGTACTCGGGTCCATTTCGGGGCACCCCTCAGACGTTTCGTGCCCCCAGGGGTAGCTCCACCGACGGCTTTGGCGGGAGTGCATGCGTGAATGGGGCGGCTTTGAGTGTAGTGTTTCGTTTCTTGGCGAACCGTTCAGGCATTCTGCAGATCCCTCAGTATGTTCATGCGCATTGAACGCTCCTGCTAATATTCCCCAAGCGTTTACCATGGGTTGTGCTCTTCGCCAGGGTAGTTTTTGGGCCAACAAGGGGCGAGGCGGAACATCAGCGGAATCTTGGAGCCAAAGCTTATGGAACCTGAGCGGAAGCTTGGAGCGTCAGAGGTCGCCGTCGTGGGGCCCGAAGAATCACACAGCCGTCCATGCTGATGTGCTATGTGGTAAAAGTTTGGTACGGCGTAAAAGTATCCCAGAGCGACCCTACCTAGGAGTTGGAGCCCCGAGGAGAGCAATAGTAGTAGAGTAGTAACGGTAAACGCCGTCCTCCTCCTCCTCCTCCTCATCGGCACCTGTCGCACATTGTGTTTGTTTGGCTTTTCCTTTGTTTTGCGTTTGCGTTTGCTGTGATTTGCCTTGCGTT